AGACAGTGGAAAACTGTGGTTGATTCATTGAATAGAACATGTTCACAAACCAGAGATTAACAGTTCAGCCGTAATATACCTCTTCTTTCAGATGCAATACATGTTCCTCATACTCAGCAACTAAATCTCTTCGAGTCATTTCCATCTCATCCACTTTCTGTTGAAGTCTTCCTACCTGTTGATAGAAGGTGAAGCAGATCATAGTATAGTGTAACAGCATGCATGCATGCACACATCAAGGCTGTGCTCTAAGGAAACTTCAAGGGAGCCCAGTGCTCTGGTTATGTAAAATCTAGCTATAGGGTGCCCAGCATATGATTTGTATTAAAAATCTGAGATTTTCTAGTCATCCAAGAGTAAAAGTTGGGCACCAGGGGCCAGCAAGCTCTGCTAGAACACAGCCCTGCACATAAATGGAAGTTGATATTAAGGTGCTGTCTAATAGCATTTTGCAGGCAACCAAGATTTATCTAGCTTAGGCTAGGAAGCTGGGGAAAAACCCCAACATCTTCAAGTGTATGTAGGGTAGATTTATTGGAAATACAAATGGAAAGAAGCTTTTCAGAATTTTCAGGAGTTAAGTGGACATCGTATCTGTTTTGGAGGCCACAAAAATAATCATTACTCTGCTTAAATGAACTGAAGATACTCTGATTAATGAAAATGAGCATTAGAATTAACAAACATTGATAAAATTAATAATATTATAATAAAACTTATGTCCTGTACCTCCTGACTTTTGTGTTCCATTTCACTTTTAACAAACTCCAGTTCCTTAGTTTTCTTATCGAGCTGAATCTGAACAGCATGCATGTGATTTTCCCACTCACTTTTCTTAGCAGACACCATCAGGTCAATTTGCCGCATTAGCTAACAACGAATGTGAATAAGAATCAACAAATTTAACAAAAGTAACAGAAACATTAACTAGACCACGGGTAAGTAAAATACAGTGGGACATCAAAGTCCCAGTTTTTTTGAAGGATGTTAATACCAACTACTGACATCTTTGAGGCTATGTTACAGGGAATGATTTGCAATATTTAGCACAACACAGCATTGTGACACCAAGGCATCATTGATTCAATTTGTTACAACATTGTTCCAGCCTTTTTTGCCCCACAAATCGTGATTGCAAATCATCTTGTGTAACATATCACCTTTACAATAACCTGAAGGTTTCAAAACATTTTTTATACTTTACAGATCCCCCTCCCTCCTCTCTCACCATGAGAAAAAGCCTGTACAACATTTACTGGACACAAGACTATACATTTGTACATGTTCTTATAAGACCAACATTGTGCAGTAAAAATCTCATGGAAAACTAAGATAATAAAATACATGTTTCACAAAACATTTAGAATTAAAACAAAAAACAACAAAAAAATGCTGTAGAATACACCAAATTTACCCATTTAATATGTTTTTTACATAACGGTAAATATTATTATGAAACTTGTAACTTAAGGCAATGCGAAATACATTTTCTGTTCAGTTTTTACAATGGACAAGTCAAAATTCTTTCAAACTAGATGTAGTATAAAAATAATGCAATCCTCATGTAACAATTTGAAACTTGAAAAAGGTAAGATTTACCTGCATAGATCAGAGATCTCAAATCTCCCTTTTTCATGTCAAAAATAGCTTAACTAAATTACAGAAAAAAATTACAATGTACCTGAAGAGTTTTAGATGGCATCGTTCAAAGAAAAACTGATACCAACTCGATGTTACAGAAACTAAAATTACAATACTTAATTAATTAATATTTAATTACGTTCAATGTTTTCCTTTGTGAACAAAAAATAGTGCCCATGAACCTAAAGTACCATGTGTGAATCTGTACATCATAAGTTTACAGACTGATGCTAATAAATTATTTATCCTCAGATCCTTTTCAAAGACAAAATCAATTGTTATAGTTGTATATCCTTTTAGACCATTGTGTGTGTCTCTCTGCACATTTATAGTCCAGGTTGCCATAATTACAATCACTTTTTTATTGAATAATATTTTTATATTTGTTTGTTTGCCTCAGAAAACTAAAAATTTATTATTGCGAGATGGTACATTTTACTTAGTTAATACTTTGTCAAGTATAAAGAGCTCTTACTACTGGTTTAATTTTACAGCTTAAAATAATTTTTTTTGTTAATTTTATTTAGTAAAAACTGTCTAGAGTAAGATGAACTACAATTTTGACTGAACAAACTAGTTGACTAGTACACATTTATCAAATTAAAAAATTATATACATTGTCTTTTAATACATTAATGTTAAGTTTGATTTTCAATTTTCTATGTCTTGTGGGCCTTGGAGACAAAGAAAATAGAAAATCAACCAAAAATCCTGGACAAAAGTAGTTGCAAAGGCTGTAAACCTTAACAGTAGTTCATTTTGATGTTCAAAAAAGATGGTTTTCCCCTTTAATAACCCTCCCCAATTCAATGTTCAGAAACAACTGAATAAGAATATTATTATTATAAATTGAATTTCGTTCAACAATGGACCAGGAGCAGAGAAGAAGGAAAAAAGGTATAAAGTAGTAGCCTTGAGTTCCCAACACTTTGATGATGATTGTTGGTTATATCAAAATCCACCTGTAATCACCGTACCTCTCTCAACTCCTCCTCACATGATGTCAGTGATCCTTTCCTGATCAAGCTAGATAAAAAAACGGTAAAGAAACAGTATAAAGATATTGTTGTGGTTTAATTTTAATTTTTTTGTTTTTTGTTTCTGAGTATGGCGATATGTGTTGGTGAGTTCAGAACAACAGTTTTGCAAAAGGAAAATTCAACTGACTGATTCATATAAAAATGATGGAACCACCTTACATGTACATGTGAGTAGCCAACAGAGGTGACCTGAAATATTTCCAGCTCAGAATAAACTAAGCGTGAAACTAATAAATAAGCTCACTGCACTTTGAGAGTATAATGGAGTACAGTACATGAAGGATCAACACGGTACAAATGCAGTACCAACATTAACCTTTACACTTGATACCAAGGCCTATACCACCAGGGCCTGTGCAGTAAGCACCCTTCACAGCCATTACTATCCAAAATAAGCAAATACAGTAAATTTATGTTTATACAACAGTTTTCCTGATATTTTTAAAAGAGTGAAATAAAATGTCAGTCCCTTTAAACATCTTTTTTTTTTATACCTGGAATGCTAGGCTTTTTCAGAGTACTTTCATTCAAAAGGGTACAGCCACTATTCAAAAGAATTTTTAGTATTCATTCTCAAATAGAACTCCTTTATTTTCTAAGCTTATTGAACTTGCTAAATACAAGTAGAAATACCCACAAATGAAGTTTATTTCATTCTTCCAGCAAGCTACACAGCTACGATATAATTATATTAACTTAATTAAACCAAATCCGGAGAGTCTGATAACTCAGACATTCTTTAACCAACACCAAAACAAAATTGTTTACGAAATAATGAGAATAATTCATTGACACTACCATGAATATTGAGTTATGGACATGTATGCCATTCAGAAATTTACACCTGCCTAACCTAATTTACATATTGCCCAAAAAAATGTCAGAATACTCAATTACTATAACTATCCCATTTGATTATACACGTATTCCATGGAAGATAAAGTTGTTTCAAAATAATAAATTATGTTGGCTCCACCAAAGATCTCAAAAGGATTTAGATCACCGTCACCGCAATTACATCGACGGAGGCTTTCAAGTTATGAACTTCAGACCAGTGAGGCACAAACAAAACCACAGTGGTCAGATGAGGTAAAATAAATTTACAAAAACTGTAAATTGAAAACTTCACTATACTTGACTATGAATGTATATTTTTTTAATTTTTAAGAGAACTAAATGAGACTTAAGTTTTAGAAATTATTAGAGCAAAACCAGTAGAAGGTTAATTGCATGAGTGCTTATTTTTTGAAAAATTTTAAATTAAATAATTATAAATTCAAGACCTGTAAAACAACTTGATTTTCAGTGATGTGCTTGGGAGAAAAACTACACAGTTTCTTTTAACGGTAGAATCCATTTGCATGCAGATAATATAGAAACTCTTATAGGTTTTTTTCCTTCACTTCTGCTTTTACAAGTACATGAAGTCCAAGTAGGCAAAACAAATCCAATCCCATTTCAGATCTGTTTTGAACAGAGGAAAGCTAAGGAAGACAACTACTGGGTTATCAGAATGATTTTGTTACTTGTATAATGGATCTAAATATGACATTTTCTGAACAACATTATGTATGTATGCAATACTGATCTTTAATCTTTAATCGATGTAATTGCCTCTAGCGAGCTAATCTGGCAATGGACGGCCAGTACACGGAAGCTCATATCCAAGAAAGAATACTAGCAGTATTTTTTGTTATTTTCTTATGTCAGAGATGTGAACAATGTAGTGTATTAAAATACCAGTATTTAATTGTCTTTAATGTTATTATTTTGATATTCCTTTTTCTAAATTTTATGCAGTGAAGAGGGGTCTATTACAATAATATTACAAAAATCCAAAGTCCAATAACCAGTAACCAGGGTTTATAACAAGTGTGCTTTCTTATTAAAAAAAACAACACGTATTTACAAAGTCACATTTTAGCAGCGATCCACTCTGACCTACAGTTGTATAAACTGTTGTTATGGAGCTTAATTTCAAGAAGATCACTTTTACTAGCAGTCTAGGGATATAGTATGAGTATATGACCATTTATTTTGATCAGGTGAGAATTTATATGCATGGCTCAGTTTATTACCAATTTAGCATTTTCCATCAAAAAAACATACATGTGTGTNGGGGGGGGGGGGGGGGGGGGGGGGGGGGGGGGGGGGGGGGGGGGGGGGGGGGGGGGGGGGGGGGGGGGGGGGGGGGGGGGGGGGGGGGGGGGGGGGGGGGGGGGGGGGGGGGGGGGGGGGGGGGGGGGGGGGGGGGGGGGGGGGGGGGGGGGGGGGGGGGGGGGGGGGGGGGGGGGGGGGGGGGGGGGGGGGGGGGGGGGGGGGGGGGGGGGGGGGGGGGGGGGGGGGGGGGGGGGGGGGGGGGGGGGGGGGGGGGGGGGGGGGGGGGGGGGGGGGGGGGGGGGGGGGGGGGGGGGGGGGGGGGGGGGGGGGGGGGGGGGGGGGGGGGGGGGGGGGGGGGGGGGGGGGGGGGGGGGGGGGGGGGGGGGGGGGGGGGGGGGGGGGGGGGGGGGGGGGGGGGGGGGGGGGGGGGGGGGGGGGGGGGGGGGGGGGGGGGGGGGGGGGGGGGGGGGGGGGGGGGGGGGGGGGGGGGGGGGGGGGGGGGGGGGGGGGGGGGGGGGGGGGGGGGGGGGGGGGGGGGGGGGGGGGGGGGGGGGGGGGGGGGGGGGGGGGGGGGGGGGGGGGGGGGGGGGGGGGGGGGGGGGGGGGCTCTTTTTGTCGCTACATTCTGTCTCGTGTTTTGAGAACGCGGGGCCTTGTCCCCGCTGTGGGGTAAGAAAGGAGATCTGTGGTCCACCCAACGGGGGGGGGGGGGGGGGGGGGGGGGGGCGGAATTGGATACAAGGTTCAAAATCATCTGTGGTTTATGAATTAGTTAACAATCTGTTTACATTCGATTTGTTATCATGCATAATTATAAGCTCACCTTTCTGAAAATATATCTGTAAACGTTTCCATGTCAACGGCTTCCTTTAAATTCTGATTTCCCCGCTTTTTTCTTTATTTTCTACTTCTCATCCATAACGACTTCTTGAGATTCAAAAATATTCTGTTACCGCAGGCGCCATGTTAGAAATTGATTACTACTTCTGGAGGTCAAGAACAATCCATCGGCCGTATACCGACTTTTAGTTTCACGCAAACGTCAATTCCTGCTAAATTCCAGTCTTTCATTAGAACTTGCACACCTCCTTATGCCACCAAATCAACAGAAAAGATTCCTCAACTTTCAGACACATTTTCTGAGCTATTTACAAGCCATTTTATCGAAAAGAACGCAAATCCTGAAGCAAAATTGCAGCCCAAAGCAAACTTTATCCTTCCATTTCGAAAGAAAGCGCGCCCAAACGCCAGGTTACCTCACCTTCCCAAAGAAGGCCAGGCAGCTTGGCAACTAATAACAACATGGCGTCCACTCAGCTGAGCCAAATGGTAAGCTTATGTTAACTATTTTCTCCAAGTAAGAGCAGCATTCTGTTCTTAAAATGTCTTTAGTAGATAGCCCAATATAACCTCCAACCTCCTATACAAACATTTATAAAACTTGGGCGGTTTTTGGTGGTTTTTCTTCGCATTTCTGTTCTTCTCCCATTAAACCTTAAACGTGCAAGTAAGTACCTGAGCTAGACAGCTGTTTTGCACTGTCTGTTGTTTTTGTTTTAGGAAAAGAAGAGGTTGCAGGGATTCTTAAACGAAATGCTTAGATGTGGTTGTTTAAAGGTACGTAAGGACCCGCTGAGGTTCGTAGTTACTAAAACAAGGAATGACCTACAATGACCTACAATGATCTGCAATTACCTACAATGACCTACAATGATCTACAATGATCTACAATGATCTACAATGAGCTACTATGACCGAACGTGTAATCCCTGTAATGAGCTAAAATGACGAGTTTAGAAAAAGACAAAAAAAAAGATCAGGGGACGTGTGTTGTAGTTACTAAAACAAGGAAGAACCTACTATGACCTACAATGGCCTATAATGACCTACAATGATCTACGATGAGCTACTACGAGCTACAATGAGCTACTACGAGCTAAAATGAGTTAAAATATGCCCTACAATGAGCTACAAAATGACAGACAATGATGTTTGTCGTGTGTCAAGCTTGGACGTGACACTAGGCTCATAGTATTAAATTACAAAGCACATTTTGAAAAGAGAAAACAAAACTTGTGCCTGATCTCAGGTAACTTGAGAAACTTGAAAATAGATTATTGCAATCGTGTTTAACCGGTAACACTATTATACCCTGTATTGACGGAAGTCATGCAGGCACTCCCTTATTTAGCCTAGATGGGTATGGGCCGCTGAGCAGGATATGGATTTTACTATTTAGCGTTACAAACAGAGCATCCTGTTGGACTGAAAGCCATTTAAAGGGTCTTATGATGTCTTATACAGGCCAGGGTACTTAAAAAAATGAACAATTTTTCTTTCGAACAGGCCTCCTTTGTTCATCTCTACCTTACGTCTCTTGAAGATCCCCCTGGATCGACTGTTGGGGTGACTGTGTTCAATTTGTTTGAAAAAAAGACAACACAAAATAAAACTAATGCGAAAGGTTGCAAGGGATGGTTTGGACAAAAGTCACAGTATCATCATACATGTATTATTACACTGTAAATTTATCTCCAAGCGTAATAATTAGAGATGCTGTCATCGTTAAATGNCGTGACACTAGGCTCATAGTATTAAATTACAAAGCACATTTTGAAAAGAGAAAACAAAACTTGTGCCTGATCTCAGGTAACTTGAGAAACTTGAAAATAGATTATTGCAATCGTGTTTAACCGGTAACACTATTATACCCTGTATTGACGGAAGTCATGCAGGCACTCCCTTATTTAGCCTAGATGGGTATGGGCCGCTGAGCAGGATATGGATTTTACTATTTAGCGTTACAAACAGAGCATCCTGTTGGACTGAAAGCCATTTAAAGGGTCTTATGATGTCTTATACAGGCCAGGGTACTTAAAAAAATGAACAATTTTTCTTTCGAACAGGCCTCCTTTGTTCATCTCTACCTTACGTCTCTTGAAGATCCCCCTGGATCGACTGTTGGGGTGACTGTGTTCAATTTGTTTGAAAAAAAGACAACACAAAATAAAACTAATGCGAAAGGTTGCAAGGGATGGTTTGGACAAAAGTCACAGTATCATCATACATGTATTATTACACTGTAAATTTATCTCCAAGCGTAATAATTAGAGATGCTGTCATCGTTAAATGGGCTGTCATGCAGTAGACTAAACGCGTTACGTTTACGTACACATGTCCCCTGATCTTGTTTTTTTTTTGTCTTTTTCTAAAATCTTCATTTTAGCTCATTACAGGGATTACACGTTCGGTCATAGTAGCCCATTGTAGGTCATTGTAGATCATTGTAGATCATTGTAGGTCACTGTAGGTCATTGTAGATCATTGTAGGTCATTTTAGGTCAGTGTAGATCATTGTAGGTCATTGTAGGTCATTCCTTGTTTTAGTAACTATGCGCTGAGGTTTCATCCAAGAAGTCCAAACTTCCAACGATTCCAATTCAAAGTGCTTTGCTAATTAACAGTAATTAATTACCCTGCAAGCAGAGGCCCTTCTATCTTCCCGAGTTATCTAGGAAGATCGAAGGGCCTCTGCTCCCAGGGTACTTGCAAATTAGCCAAGCGTCTCCCTCGAATGGGGGTAGAACCCTGCGAGCAGTGCCCATGGGGTTATGGGGTAGTTGAGGAGCTGAAATGTTTGGAATTTTTTACTCTTGCCCAAGCGCAATATATGAGTATTTTTCCTTCATACATGTACATAGTTAAGTTTTAAATTTCAGTGACAGAAAAAGCAACAAGCAAATATAGTTTTTTTCCATGTATGCATGGACCTGTACAAAACATGGACTCCCAGTCCATGGACTACCCCTGTGGACCTAGTCAGTGGACCCCTTTGCGGACCCAGTCCACAGACTACCCCTGTGGACCCCCCTATTTATTGAAGATGTATTTTACCAGTTGTGCTGAATATGATATGAATAATAATGTCGGCCAAGGAGGGTATTATCCCCCAAAAGCAAACTTTGCTCTCAGTTTATTATTATCAGGCTTATAATGAGCTTCTCATATTATATACCCGTTCAGTTTTTTCTTGAATTCCATACATGAATTCGGTGTAGTCTGGTAAAGGACGAACAATATTTGTGGTCTGGGGGAAGTAGCCTACTGTGCAAACGTTTTATTTCGTCGCGTTGCATATCCTCCCCAGAATTTCCTTCCATTGATGGCCCATGGAAACATTTCTTCATCTGCAAACTCAAGTCACTCCTGGTTACAGATCAAGCACAAAATGGCCTGCATATAACTGTTATGTCCAGAAAGCTTACCAAATGTCTATCCAACGACATAGTTTGAAAATATGCAGGTCATTTTGTGTTTGTTCCATAAGGAGGAATCGGTAAGTTTGCTGACAGGCTATCAAGGGAAGGGAAGTCTGGGGAGGGTGCTCAATGATCATGGGTAACTTCTTACTCCCTAGTCTCGTACGTTCGCAGCCATTTTTGTGTTGTCACACAACATGTCAACACACACACAAAAAAAGCTGCATTGGAGACTACTTACTCCCTACCTCTCTCCCTAGCTGTTCCCTTCAAATATTGTTACTCCTTCACCAGACTCACCCAAACCGTTTACAATGGTATGGAATTCAGGAAAAGTTTGAACAAGACTGTGAGTAATATGAGTTGCCCATAATCCTGATAATAATAAAATTATGAATAATTTATTGATGCACACTCTTCCATTTAAGGTTCCATTTTTGGTCCCATAGGGGTAGTCCATGCACCGGGTCCATGAACAGGTCCATGGAGTGGTCCATGGACTGGGGGTCCATGTTTTGTTTTCGTCCTGTATGTATGATGATGATTATTCATGTTACTCATTTACAGGGTTTCAAATACTTTGCTCTTTACCTGCGTGGAAGAGAAGAGCTTATCTGCCGTGTGCTAAATGAACCTATGGTTAGTGCTTTGACAAAACAAATCTTTCATAATTACTTTAAACACAAGTGATGTTTTTTTAAATAAATAAGTAAATAAATAAATAGATTAATACATAAAAAATTTAATGAAATCAAGGCTGTGATCAAGTGGTCAAAATGCCCTGAACCTACAAAATGAAGGTGCCCAGCTTCTATGGTTCAGAAAATTCCAAGTATGCCCATCCCCCTCCATCCTCCACTAGAGTTTATACATGCACAATGTAGTTGCCAGGTCCCATCAGGCATGGTCAGAACACAGCTGTGATTTTAATTAATAATATACAATAGTAATAATACAATATCTGTTTTATGGTCACTTCGTTCCATGGTCAGATCATTCCATTTCATAGATCGTTCTACAGTTTTCGTGTAAAACTCAATGTGAAGTGCACTTTTTTCTGCTTATGGCTTAAAGAACAAGGTGTACACATGCGTATTGCCCTTTTTTTTATAGACTTATGAAAAGTTCTGACTATATTGTACAATGTAAATTGATAAGACTATTTACCCTTTAAATTAAGCCCTAAGGGTGATCAGTGTCAAATTTCTCCTTGTAATATCAATCCTTTGTAAAAGAGAGTGGTCATGAGAATTACAGACATGATCACACAGGATGAATTTGCTTGATATTTTAAAAACTTCTCCCCACTGTTTATCTAGGAAATGAATAGGGGCTACAAATGAGAATTCAAATTTTGATCTTTGGGTGTAAGGGGTTAAGTGGAACAATCTGACTAGGAACAATCTGACGATGCCAGAACAAAGTAACTGGATACCCAATATCTTACATTTCTCATCATCAGTTTGCCCTTAAACCCTTTTATTCCCAGCANTTTTTTTTATAGACTTATGAAAAGTTCTGACTATATTGTACAATGTAAATTGATAAGACTATTTACCCTTTAAATTAAGCCCTAAGGGTGATCAGTGTCAAATTTCTCCTTGTAATATCAATCCTTTGTAAAAGAGAGTGGTCATGAGAATTACAGACATGATCACACAGGATGAATTTGCTTGATATTTTAAAAACTTCTCCCCACTGTTTATCTAGGAAATGAATAGGGGCTACAAATGAGAATTCAAATTTTGATCTTTGGGTGTAAGGGGTTAAGTGGAACAATCTGACTAGGAACAATCTGACGATGCCAGAACAAAGTGACTGGATACCCAATATCTTACATTTCTCATCATCAGTTTGCCCTTAAACCCTTTTATTCCCAGCAACATTTTGTGAAGGGTCTAAAATCTATGATTTTTGCAAGTCCCCAGAAATCTGGTCATATTATGATGCACCAACATCTGAAAAGACAAGATTAAAAGGAAGATCTAGCTTTACTTTTGACAGCGGAGCAAATTTACCCAGAAATGAGTAAGTGTTAGATGTCGTTGTTGTCAATCAAGGCATTGCATTGAGACCTTTAGACATGGTTCACACGAGCCTTGAAAAACTTTTGAAAATTGAAAAATTGTGGGGTATCCTTGAAAAGTCCTTGAATTTTCCACAGAAGTCCTTGAGTATTTTTGAAAGCTCCTTGAATGAAAATAACTTTCATTAAAAAATATATGTTTTGCGTAAAGGAATGATTGAAAGCACAGTAATACACAAAAATTTTTGTGGTGATCATGAAAGTGTTTTCTTTATAAATATGATTTTGGTGTTCCCAACATATTTCATTTTCCATCACTTGAGTTACCCTAGGAACTGTACCTTAATGAAGGCAGGTATTACAATAAGTGAACCCCCTTCCACCTACGCATTTTAAAGGTCTTTACTTCATTTTATTGGGGAAGAAAAGTCCTTTTAAAAATGATTTTAGTCCTTGAAAAGTCCTTGATGTTTTCCCAAAAAATTCTGTGTGAACCATGTTTAGATTTGAGGATGACTATGAGGATGAGATTTTACTTTAAGTTTTTCTGCAAATATTAAAAAAAAAAAGACTCCCTGGAAAGCTTCATTTTACTTTTCCTCACCAGGCTAACATGGTTGTTTTTATTGAAGGAGGTTATTGCATTTTCCCACCAAAATTATGTTTGTTGATGTGTACACACTACTTAATACTACTTAATTTTTTTAAATCTTTTTTCCTCGTAGTTTTCCTCTATTTCTTAGTTGTGTTTTGACCCTGACTTCGTCTCTCTCTTCACCCCTTCCTTTTTTGGTTGTTTGGTCATCAACACATTGAACTGTCAATGGTTTTACCCACTTTCCAACAACTGCATTGTTTATTTAACAATATTATTAATGAACGAGGCTGAGTATCTTATGGAGAATTATGGAGATCGAGGAGGGTGTTATCCGTCGAGGCCGTAGTGTATGGAAGTCACATTGAAACTTTACCAAACCATTTTAAAGTAGTTGATTGTTATTTCTTTGGTACAGGAAGTCCTTGATCATGTCTACTAACACCCAAAAGAGGTAATACTGTAGTTACTTGAATGAAATATATATATGCACTGTACATTGTGCAAGTAAAATGCACATGTTTCTTGGCTCCTGTTGTATTATTTGTACAGGATATTGAGTGATTTAAGTTGCACAGAATAAAGCTCTTGTGTTTGAAATTTTATTTTGATCATAACCATCAGTGAAATTTAATTTGATTCAAGTTAAAAATTGAAGGACTTAAAATGAAATTTCAAACAGTAAATGAAAGCTGTTAACTTAAATGGATATTTTTAACAAGTTATGATAAAGGATCTTGTCATATTGTAGATGATTTTGTCTTTTGGTGCTGATCAAAACCTTGTTTAGACATTGTTTATAAATACATACTGGACAGATAGCCTGTATTACAGGGCTGTCATTCAATTTTTAAGCAGCCGTAGCAAATGAAGATTCACCCATAACATCTCAAGAAAATATTATACATGTTTTGTCACCTTTAGCTTTTCAATTTGATCATCCTCAACATCAAGTTTGCTCAGCCATAACAGGTGTTACGACCAGCTTAATGACAGCTCTAACTCTGTACCCTTACATCCGTTTATGACATATTGGGACAGTGATCTGAGTAAAGAATGAGAAATTGATAATAAAAAACTGAGGCACATATAAAATGGTAAAATTGAACTGAGTGCAGTTTGGTCAAAATCATATGCATGATTTCAAAATTGAACTAGCACACACCGCGAGTTTTGATTTGAAATCACAAGTATGATTTACCATGTAACAACTAGAAATAGAGAGATTTAGAATAATGTTACTGTAAACCATATAATGGCAAATGTCAGTTTGTTTGACATGACCAAGTTTTTTTCTTGTCAGTTCACTGTTCATTAATATAATTACATTTGCACAAAACAAATGCAGTTTTTTGCCAGTTTCATCAGTAAGAATAATATTAAATAAGTAGTTTGCACAGTTACTTGACCAATTGAATTTCCTATTTTTATGAAATTGTCAACTTGAATCTCACATTTGCCATTTGCCATAAACCTGATTCTGTATCTCTCCAATACTTTTCTGTAACACAGTTTAAGTGGCTATGGCTTCATGGACATTGGTCTTCCTCCAGCGAGTCCTAGTGACAAAGATATTGATTTAAAGGTAAAGTTGAGTTCACTTATACAGATTGAAATATGATCTATTGTACAAGAAGGCAGTATTATAAACAATTCAGTTTGTAATTAGGCATGAAGTTGTAGTGATCAATGAACTTATCTAGTACCTCATTGCAACATTTGCCTTGATCTTTTTGTTCAGTTCATTAAACAACACAATATTCCTCCTCAAGTTTCTTTTGTTTGAATTCATGAATTTTTTGTCTCATAGCCTTAGAATTCAGGATACAGTACAGTAACATCTTTTAATAATATTGTATGCATAACATGTACAATAGGTCATATTTGTGGTCTGAAAATTTCCTTACCAGGTGGTTTAATTATTTTATATATAAATAGTTTGTTTCCTTTGCTCCAGATATAAGGGTATAGCTATATAGAATGGATGTTATATAATCTTCAAAACACATGGGTCTCAGAAAATTTTGGCCTGATCTCCAAATCTCAGTCAAAATCTTGTTTTGGGGTGATTTTGCATCTCGGTGTCTCAATTGAAAGTTTTTACTAAGTCTTGGTCTCAAATTTTAGAACCCGGTTCTCACAATGTCTCGAATTTACCATTCTACACCCCCAGATTTTGTACAGTAACGTTAAATCATAGATAAGGAAATAGTAACATCAAATCATTCGCCTTTCAAATTTCCATCTGCCAAAGATATAATACCGTAGTTTTATTGTTGTTGTGTACATTATTTTTAAATGTGTAATCATCTTTTCTCAGGATGACAAATCAACACTTTTTCTTATTGCTGCTTATGCTCGATACAATTGTCCTTATGTATGGGTGAGTGCGTCTTAAATCATTTTACATCTGATGTATATGGTGCATTGTTTTCCCTAAATCTCCTCCATTCCTTGGCTTGTTGTGTGACTTAATGTACAATGTAGTAAGCAGTGTAATTTAGTAACACAAAGAACCTGAGTCAGAACCTGAGATGGCCTTGGTTGTTGTCCAAAGCACTGCAAGTTGCTTCTGATTACTTTCCCCTGCTTCACAAAAAATGAGATGATATGAGGATATTTATAAGGTGGAATTCAGTTTGCTTCCTGCTTATGGCAAAAGCTGAATTACTTGAGAAAGACATTTCTTAAAAGATCCCTCAAGAGCTTCACTTTTGGCTGTGGCTTACCTCAGTGTGAGTGGCTAGTGGTGGGTATTTACAAAGCCATGAAGTGAAACAGTGCAATAACTGAGCACAAAAATGATGGTTTTTAACTCATTTACTGCTGCCAACAATCACAATTTTGGCGCGCAAATGACCCAACGGCTATCGTGTTTTCTTGCTGACAAATAAAACTTTTGAAGGCATTTGTTTAGCCATTGTTGGGAAATGTCTTCAAAAGGAGTTATGATTTTTTTTTTGTATTTGAACCTATTCTGTAAAAAACTATTAAATTTAGTTTTAATCTTAAAAAAAAAAGTTTTAATCTTATTTATGAACATGTCAGCTAAATAAATTAATACAAGACTTAATTTGCATTTGTGAACAAATAAATTCTAACCATTTTCATTGATAGATTCAAGTCAAACAGACCATGCTTTACCTTTCGGGAACAGCTTGTTTGATTATTTGTGATTCAATTTCTTTGTTTGTTATGGCGACATATGGGGAAACCATTTTGCTCGTAACTTACACAAGTTCGGCTTCGCTTACTTGGAGGAGCTGGAGGTGAATCAGTGAATAGCACTGGATATCCTGAGTAGCCAATCAGAGTGTGCGAAAAACACTATCCACTGTTTTAGTACTAAATCTAAACTATTGCAGGTGAGGTCAAACCATGAGAGACTGGTGACATTTGAAGGTGACTCCAGCAGCAAGGAGAAACAGAAAGATAGTCCACTGAAACTCAAGTCCACAGCAGGGTGGAAACAGAGAGGTAAAAAAGAAGCTACATGTTCAGTTTTTAACTAAATTAGACTAAGTGAGAGTGGCTATGTTGAATTCTCATAAATACACCATCATGAAAAAACAAATCATGAAATCCACTTTATGTACCTGAGGTGTCTGCTTGTAGTTAAGGCCTGCTGTTTTCTGACTACTGTTATTGAGTTGTGATTTTCACTGATTGTTCTGGCATATTTTTAGAACAGAGCTGTCATTAATGGCCAAAACCAGTAACACCTGTTACAGCTGAGCTTACTTGATGTTACGGGGTGATCAATGTGAAAAGCTACTGAAAAGGTTACGCTATAAGTTTTTGTGAGATGTTAAGAGTGAATCTTCATTTGCTAGTTGGGTACTTCAGAATTCAATTGACAGCCCTGTTCGATGGGACATTAAGACAGAATCCACTATGAAATTGAGTATTAATTTTAATTATCAGTGGACAAAAACCTTGTACCAGAATAATTTAAACAATATTGTATTCTTGTTGACATGTAATGAGTTATCTGTAATAACATCAAAGAAAATCCTTATGAGAGCCCGAGAAAGTAAATGTCAAATTTCACAACATGACATCTTACACATGAGTTTTTCAGAATTTACCTATGTTTTCTTGTAGAATTTAACACTTATTTTCTCAGGCTCCCATGAGAACTAGTCTTTGGTGTTATTAAAGATAACTAGTTATATCGATAGCCCTCGAAAAGTGTAAAAAAGAATGCAATATTTTTCAATATTATTCTGGTACAAGATTTTTGTCCACTGAAAATTAATATTACTCAATTTCCTGGTGGTTTCCATCTTAAATACTTTGCAAAAATGTTTTTTTGTTTACACTACAGTTGATGGTTTCCTTGTTTGCATTCATTTTGGCTGATGATTTAAATATTTCGCTTTCAGATACCAAACTCTGGGACATAATGGCTGAGGTTGTAAAACTCTGCATGTACCCTTCTCCACTGAACCCCTTTGCTGTTGACTTCAAGTACTTTGAAGGACTACCTCTTGCGCAGAGAGTAATCGCAACAGGTGCCATGGCACATTTCTTACAGAAAGTTGTTGCATCTGGGGATCATGCTTACAATGCAAGAGGTACATTACTGTTCAACCATTTCCATCATTCTGAACATAATTCCCTTTCACTCCCACTAGTGGCCAGTGTACAAAAAAACGAGAACAAAAATTCCAAGTTCCTGTTGTAAATCCCAAGAAATTAATGGCACCATGCAAAAGACCTGTCTGTTGAAGAGTTTCATTTGAATGATAAAATTGTGGGACTTTCTCCACAGATTAAAAAGTCAGGAATGACTAAAATATATATGTTGTTATTGTTGTGCATAACTTTCTCTTTGATAGTAGTGTAAGGGTTAAATATGCTTTTATTGGAAGGTGCAAAACTTGCTTTTCAACTCGTTCCAAGCCGCCCGGCTTGCTAACACGGTAACTGAATCCATAGTGGTTAGTTGACCCAGCTGATGTGGATCAGTGCAGTCTGAGCTTGTGGTTGCAAGTGCTAGTTATGAGCACTCTCCAGGAGCATAAAAAAATCTTGAATTCCAGCTTGTCCTTTGGGAAAGACAGTAGTCTCCTTCACAGCAAGTTTGAGCTTGTCACACAAGACTCCTTTTCACAAATGGCTACTTTCTTTTAAACCACATATCAAATCAAATTACACAAAAACCGGAAATGAAAACCTTATCCTAGCAAAAGTGAGGGCAAACACACCTTAGTTCACCACAGCCCTGTTTGATGGGACATTAAGGGACAAACACGCCTTTACTTCACCACATGACAACACAACTTACCACTTGGACTGCTCCAAAAAATGGGCAAGGTAATAGGGTAGGAAAAATGTTTGTCCTGCACCGAAGCTGTACTAAAAGAGGCCTGTAATCACATGCTCAGGTGCTTAAATATCTACCATTGTACTTCCTGGATGCACCCCATATGTGGAGAGGAGCGTTGCATGACGAGCCTTAAAACAGTTGTGAAGGAGACTATTGGGAAAGCAGCCCTCATATCTTTCTCACCCATGGCCACTTCTTGTTCTTCTTAGTTAATGATTTTATTAGAGGATGATGTGCCTGGACCCTTTCCCATTGGGCAAGTAAGCTTTAAAAGTTACTTGCCCGGGAAAAATCTACTTGTCCTGGACTACCTGACAGGACTTTTTTTCAAGGCCTGGGTCAGTTTGGAAGGAAACTGTTGGGTGGTACTAGTGGGACAGTGGAGCACAAATTTGGTTTTGTTGGCTAAGTTACTGATAATTATAAAAGTAATTCAGCCTTTTGAGTACCAGCCTGCTCTCTCATTAGCACGAAGTAAAGAATTGTGGGTTGTCTGTGGGTCAAAGTGTAGAGCTAAGAAGAAAAAGGAAGAGCATGTATAAAAAAAGAAAGTATATGTATAAACAATAACAAAGTTGCTAAAAGAAAAGGAAATAATATAGACTGAATATGCAGCTCATACACCATTTCTAAATCCTTTCATGTTTAATGACTGTCATGGTACTTGTACACAAAAGGTTTATTCTATTTTTGTAACAGGTTTTTCTTTTTTTCCATTTTAGTATTTGATGACTTAGGAGAGAT